CCCTGCCTCAAAAATAAAAACAAAAACAAAAAAGCAAGAATAAATAAATGGAAAGAAATCAAGCACCCAGCTTGCAGATGGTGTTTTGTGGGTTATTTTGTCAGCCCGGAGGCAGGCAAGTCCAAAATTCTATTACCAATTGTATAAAGAGCACAGGCAAATCTAAAGAACTGTCCCAGAGAGGAAGGATGAAATGAAGTCCACTGCTGCCCGCCCGCCTGCCTGCCCGCCTGTCCCTTCCTCCCTCCCTCCAGTCCCATGGTCCTGTGTGTTAGGAAGACAGAGAAGGGGCTCTTGAATTCAAGACCAGAGCCTCTGAGGAGGCCCATGACCAGATGGTCTTCCTGTTTCTATTGACAAGCAGAGCCATGTGAATTTTGGAGAGTCGGGGTCACAATATGAATTAACAGTGCTTCTGGGTGCTTTCTAGACCTGGGATAGTCTTGGTAGGCATGTGTCTTAATTTATCAGGTGTTTGGGGGGGAGAGAATTAGTAACCTGTGTTTTTGTAAACTTGTCAAATAGCTGAGACTCACTTCTCTGTGTTCAGAGCCCTAGAGAAAGTCCATGGCATATAGATGAAGGTTCTTTTCGCTGACGTACCGAAGTCTGTTTAAGTGGAATTAAATTGTTTAACCAAAGCACAAAGATGAGTTTAAATTAGTTCAAAGCAGGACTACAGGAAAATTACAAAACTATGCCTTTGGGATGAGGGCCAGGCAGCAAATCCTCTTAGTCCTGTCTATCTACCTATCTACTTTCTGGCCTTCCTGCCTGTCTGCCCATCCACATACCCATTCATTCAGCCACCCCATCCACCTCTCCATCCATCTACTTCATCCACCAATTCATCTCACTCATTCATGCCATGGGTCCATCCATCAACCTGTTCGTCTACCCCATCCATCCATCTACTCACCAATCAATTAATCTACCCACCCATACCAGTTCGTTATCCATCCCTGCACACATCTTCTCTCTTGAGCATTTGCTTTCTCTCAGTTGCACTGCAAAAATATAACCAAGGCTTGCTATGGGCTAGCAGATCAAACCCTGTCCTTGTCCCCAGTGAAGTAACAAAGCTGATTAAGAGCATCTCTTCCACCTGATCAGTGTATGCTCCTCTGTCTGACCATTTCCTCTGTTAAGGGAGGAGCCCCTTGGCAGTTGTCCAGCCTCTGCCTCTGTGTCTCACACACAGTTCATGCATGGACTATTACGTGCGTGCATGTGCGTGTGCGTGTGCGTGTGTGTGTGTGTGTGTGTGTGTGTGTTGAATATAACTCAGCTGTAGGTGTCAAGGGGCTGGGTAAGTTCAGTTGACAGGAGAGATGAATGAAATGGCTTAAGTTGGGAGTTGAGGACTCAGAGGACATTTGGGTGAAGAGGAAAACAAGAGCTCCCTGTTGGTTCCCTTTCTCTTTCTGTCCTGTTTCTGGTTGGGGGATGGAGTTGGGGAGTCCCTGCTCCTCTTACTCCTTCCTGCCTTTCCTCAGGAGTCTGAGATACAGCTACACAAGAAGAGTCTGATTTATCTCAACATGCTAGCTAGCAAGGACATAGCTGAATCTCTGTGAGAGACCAGGGAATCCCCCAGACAAACCACTAAGTCATACCAGTGGGGCAGGGCTCCTTGATCTGGGCCAGGCTGGTCCCCCAGGAGGGTCTCTGCTCCCTCCTACCCCGTCTCTCCTGAGCTGACCTCTGTTCTTACAAGGCTGCCCTTTCCTTCCCGCCTTGAAATCTGATAATGAAACTAATACCCAATATTTTTGCCTGGGAGAGAAGGAGGAGATAAACAGGAAGGCATGGGGGATTAGGGTGTCTCTCTGAGGCAAGGCCTGCGGTTGGTGAGAGTTGGGTGACACCTCTTTGTGGGCCTGAGGGATCCAGATGTGAGCCACTTTGCCCAATGCATTTTTCCATTTGTGTAGAGAAAATAAAACAAAGAGAAAAGAAAACAAGCTGTAAAATACTTTGCAGAAGTCTGAGCATGGGTAATTATCACTTGATGTTCCCTGACAGCCCAAGGAGGGGCAGGGGGTGCTTTTTGATGTTGGCAGTCGGAGTTTTCTTTTGTATGACCACTTGTTTGGAAAGAACCTTTTGTTGGTGTGAGGTGTGCAGGGAAGGAGATCTAGCTTGAGCTTTCCCAAGGGGTCAGCAAGGCAGCCCCATACTCCCAGAAGGACCAAAAGATGCTGCTGTGCGGCCTTTCTGTGTACAGGGGAGGCCTAAGAGGAGTGAGATCGGGGGTCCCTGCAGATCCTGGCCCTGGGCAGGTACACCAGGTCTTGGGATTTCTGTTCTTGCAGGAAAGATCCAAGTTCTGGCCTGTAGTTCAGGTTCATCTGGTGTATATGGCGATGCTGGCCACCTTCTCTGAGGCAGTCTAGCAGTAGGAAGACTGACCTGCTGCAGGCTAGGGCTCTACTCACTGACTTCTCAGTGCTGGGCTGCTGGGCTGGTCCCCACGTGTATCTGAGTAAGTCCTATCCCTTGTCTAGCTGAGTGTGGGGTGGAGATGCAGCTTCTGTGTGTCTGGTTCAACTCATCCCTTGGGGACACCTGCTCAGGAACACTTTAGTTCTTGGGAGTCAGATTTGTTCTCCGGTCCAAACCGGCTTCTAGCTGCTTTTGGACTAAAGGACAGGTGCTGTCTTGACACCCCCACGAAAGCCTTCCTCCACCTCTGCATGTTAGTTGAGTGACTAATGGGCACATGATTTGAAGAATGGCTCTTGGAAGAACATTTAAGGATGCCTATAACACTAGAGAGCAAAATCAAAGTGGCACAGTTGTAAAGAAAAAAATTCACATGTAAAAATAGCATCTGAATACGAAACCAGTAAAAACATTTATAGCTTATATAGTAGAAAAGGCAAATGTTTTAAGCCAACCATAGAGAGAGGAAAATTGGGCCATGGTGGAGACGCAGGAAGATAATGCCCCCTCTTCTGTAATCATAGACACAAGTGAATACCATGTGCGGGCCTTTTCCCCAGACAGTTTGTAACCTTTTTTTTTTCAAATGCTGACACCAAATGTGTGTTGTTCTTCTTTTCAAGGGTGTGGTGAAATAAGACCTGTCACTTCCTGCTAGTAAGAGGCATAGCCAGTTCAGCTTTCCTTGAGGGCAACTTGGAGTTTTCGATCCAATGTTAAAAATACAGAGACCCAGAATTTAACTCGGAATTCTGCCTTGAGGAATGCACTGTCCATCAGTGGATGTGCAGGTCCAAAGGTGGTTCAGGGGTTAGTGCTGAGCTGCAGGGAACAGCTTGTTCAGAGAGTCCATCCATCTCACGCTAAAGACCCATGGTGTTTTAAACTCTGAGCACCACACAATCTTTAAAGATCGTATTGAGCCATATTTGACACTATTGTTCATTCTGGAAAAAAAAAGGCTACAAGGCTAGATGCAGACAGGTATCACCTCTATTTCTACAAAATATAAAATAGTCCCATGGCTGGGCCCAGCAGAAAGCTGCTATGTTCACAGTGGTTTATGGAAACAGGAGTGAACTTTTCTCTTTTTTGCTTTTGTTTTTAAGTGTATAACATTAAACATCATTTCTTTAGAAATTCCATGAAATGTGCATAGAACAGGACAGAGTGAATATGATTAAAGTACACCATATACCATGTGCAAAAATGTCATGATGATGCTTGCAATTTTGTATGACTGATACAGGCTTTTCCAAAAACGTAGGGTAAGGTGTATCTGAGCGTGCTGGAGTGCGGTTGGCTTGCAGCTGGCAGTATCCTAGAGTTTGAAGCCCAGAGAAAGCAGCTGGGGTGGGGGCTGATCCTAGCGTGAAGCACAGAGAGCCCTTTGGGGAACATGCTGGAGGTCTCTGCCAAGCAAAGTCTAGAGCTAAGCTTGGAAATGACACTGAATTTGTACCCCCTGGATGGTAATGCGGCTGTAGCCACATGAGAACGGTTGTCATAGAGGAACGGGATACATGCTGGCCTTGGAGGGGGAGGGACACCCCCACACTTGGCGTGGTTTGGAAACTGACCAGAATAAATGAAGCAGGAGGGAGTGAGTAGGTCTGGCCTGGTAAGGGCACCAAGGCTGTGCTAAATGATTTTGACTTTGTCTTTATGGACACCCTCAGGTTGGTGCTTAGAAACCCTGTTCTGGTCACAGTTATCTCTGTGATGTGTCCTTAGAACTCCCTGAAGACACAGAAATTCCATCATGGAATCCCTTCTGTAAAGTGGCTTTGTGTTTGGACATGGCCTCCACACATCCTCTTATGTCTATGCAAATAAAACTCCTTGTTAGAACTAATCTCTAGATGGCTTCAACTACCCAGTAAAATGTAAGAACAGCACATTTCAGTATAGATGCAATTTCCTTCCAGATATTTTGGGTCCACAGGGTTGACAGAGGCAGGATGGAGGGGGGCCACCTCTGGGTCCAAGTAGAGACCCCAGACTTTGAGCTTTAAGTGAGGGTTTCTTGCTCATGGGCAGAGAGGAGGTGTGAGATGCAGGAGTTAGGTCCCAGGGACGTCAGGGCAGGCTGAGGTGCTGGCCTCTGAGCTAGTGACAGATCAGGGAAGTGGAAGGAAGTGAGATGGGCAGGGAAGAGCCGCAGAGAGGAAAACTGGGGGTCCTCGTGGTGCTGGATAGGGGGGTGGAGAGAGGGCAGTTGGCTCCAGAGTCCCTGGTGGCAGAGGAACGGGAGAAAGGAGGTGCAGGTGAGGTGGAATCCGGGGCATCTGGGTGTGGCCTGTTCCCACTGAGGGACTTAAACACATTTATTTCTCCCAGCTCTGGAGGTTGCAAGTCCAAGATCATGGTGTGGGGAAGACTTTAATGCATGGATTTCAGGAGGCCTCAGCGTGGTTCTGGGATCGCGCTGTGAGGGAGCTAAGGAAAGGCTCCCAGAGTGTAGGAGATGGAGGGAGACCTGGGATGGACCTTTTCCCAGGGTGTCGGCCCTCCCACCCCCTTGTGCTGACGGCTTCTTTCTGTTTCCCCTACAGCCTGCAACTGCAACCTCCACGCTAGGCGCTGCAGATTCAACATGGAGCTCTACAAGTTGTCAGGGCGCAAGAGCGGGGGCGTGTGTCTCAACTGTCGCCACAACACCGCAGGCCGCCACTGCCACTACTGCAAGGAGGGCTTCTACCGAGACATGGGCAAGCCCATCACCCACCGAAAGGCCTGCAAAGGTAGGTTGTCTTGGGTCAGGGAGCACCTTTCAGGGACACCAGATTTCCTCTCTGCCCCCTCTCCAGTTCCCTTACAAAGTGGAGTAGACCAAAATACACACACACACACACACACACACACACACACATACACACACACACACTCACACACACACACAGAGTCTCTTTCTCTTGTTTCTCTCTAGGCCTCCCTGGTATTTGGAGGTGTAAGCCAAAACAACGGGGCAATGGAGACACAGCTCAAAGGAGAAAGTAGAAGGCGCAGTGCCTTGTGAGGGTGCAGGGCCGGGCTCCCAGCGCTTCCCCCTGTGCCTCCCTCCTCCTCAGCGTCTCCTCAGCACAGGTGTGCTGCATACCAGAGGAAAGGGAGTCATGTTCACCAGGCTTACCGATGTTGGGACAAAGGAGCCTCTTTTTCCAGCCCCTCGCAGACACACTCCTTTGGATGTGTGTGCACTGCCCCCCAGCCCACCCCCTTCACACACACAGACACACACTCAGTTGCAGTGAGGCTGGCAGTTTCAGGACAGGGTCTCAGAAGGGAACATTTAATCCATCTGCAAATAGCTTTACTTTTCAGGACAAAAAAAAATTTAAAAGGCGACAGGCCGACTATTTTTGTTCACCGAAGCAAGCACTAATGTTTTAACTTTCTGCTGTTTGTTTTTCTCTCACCAACAAAAATGAAGCAAGCAATGGTCAGATGATTCAGAGGAGCTGATGAAATGCCAGGGAACTGAAGGAGCTGGGAGTGAAAAGTAGCCCCCACCACCATTAGCTTTTGGGAATTCCAGGGACTAGAGATTTCTTGCTCTGACGTTGGGGTCTGGGGCTAGAGCATATCTGAGCATGGCTTCCTGAGGGATCCCAGAATACAGTGGACCTTTAGGGACCCCAACCCAGGAGGGTGTAAAGCATGGCAGATAGCTTGTATAGGGAACTACAGTGAACAACCCTTTGTGGATGCTGCTCAGCCTCTGAATGAAGGAGAGGTGTTGTCTTCATAAAGGGAAAAACACCAGATGTTAGGACGCCTATGTACAGAATGACGATAGAACTCCAAGGATCCAATGCAAAATGAAAATACAGGGTTCTTTATGCAAAAATGATAAGGAATTTCAAAACAACAGTGGCAGAGCTTCAACCAGGAGTGTGCCCTTCTGAGCATGGAGCCATTTCTGCATGTACAGAACACTTCCTTGATAACCAAACAGCAATGCAAATTTACTGGCTCTGCAGACTCTCTCGTCTGAGAGAGTCTCCTGGACTCCACATGTACAGATGAGTAAGGTGTCTCTCAAGATGCCCACAGGCTCTCACTCCATGTCTGTGGCATTGGCTGCCTTTGTTGGTTGCCACGAGAATCTGAGTAGAAAGATGGCGAAGCTATTTCCAAATCAGAGAGACAACAGATTCAGGAGAGAATGCCCAGGAAGACTTGAGGTGGCCCAAACGGTGAGGCCCAAGGAAGTTCTACACTCTCAGGAAGGTGTGAGCAGGGTAAAACTGGAGAAATGGTTTAGAGACTTCAGAGAACAGAGTTGGAACGTGCCCAACTCCTTTGCCTAGATCCAAAGAGTCTGCTGTCTCTTTTATAGAAGAGATGGAAGCTAGGATCTTGTAAACAATTGGCTGACACAGATTTATTGGTCATTTGGCCAAAAAGTTTAACCAGGGACAGCCACTTCAGTGGTAGTCCTGTGCCGGAGAGCAGGAAGTTCCGTGTTCATCACGAGGAAGGATGCTGGCTACTTCCTGCCCTGCTGGGTTTTTCCTATTGTGGCAGAGATGCTCATCATCCTTTGTCAGTTGGGGCCGAGGGTGGGGCAGGTACAGAGGAGGCGGTGCTCCTGTTCTGTGACTTCAAATGCTGTAGCCAGCCCGGGTGGCTGTCTTCAGTTGTAGTGCTGTCCCTGGCCTTGGTGGGAACCCAAGAATAACTTGGGTTGGGGAGAAGCTAAGGATGGATCCTGGTCAGAGGGAGACAGGAAAGGGTGTGTGGAAGAAAGATAGTGATTTGGGAGCCCCACACCATGGTGAGGAAAGAGAGTGCTTCCCTGATCCTGCATGACTAGCCAGGAAAAGTATAGTCTGAAAAGAGGCCTCGCTTCATGATTGGTGAGAAAAGGCTGCTCTCCAGTCCAGGGGCAGACATGTGACAGCACTGCCACTAGAAGGAATCCCTTGAGAGTTTTCACCCTGTACCTCCAACTCTTCCCTTCCCCAGGGTCTCCTCCTTAGGGGATGTGGGAACTTTGAATACCTTTATGGCTATTTCTTGCCAAAAATCAACCTGGTGATCACGGCAGGAAGCAGGGTTAGGAGCAGCTTGGATGCTGGGTGGGGAGATGTGTGCCTCTGAGTTTCTTGGTCAAAACACCCACCTCTCTGCCACCATGTGGGACCCTTCTGCCTGTCCTCCAGGGCCATGCGGTTTAAGCAGTGGTCCCTTGTTGCAAGCCTGTTGGCCCCTAGTTTTGTGCTCTTTCGACAGCATGTTCTCTGGGGAGTTCAGATCTTGTGGGTAACGTTCTGTCCCTTGCCCTAGCCTCTGAGAGTGCCCTTGGGGAGCCCCATCCTAGGTCCTCTCTGGAAGGCTTTGCTTCTTTGCTTTACCCTCATTTCACAGAGGAATTGGGACAACTGGCTCTCAACGCCCAAGCTGGCTCAGGAATGACAGTGGGGCCCTCTTTACCCCCTGACTTCTCAGGGCCTGGGAGGGGCCCGGGCAGGGGGCCGAGGCCACCCATACACTGCTGGTGATTGGCTGGCTCAAGACCTTGTTCAGTGTCGAGCCGGGGTGGACCCAGACAAGAACAGCTTGGAGCAAGGGCATTTGATTCCAAACATTACTATGCAGTCTCCCCATTTGGGAAGTTTCATAGCAACAAATTTGTTGGGGTCTTTCTCCCCTCCCCTCGCTTAGGAGCAAACCGGGACTGGCAGGGTTGGTGCATACAAAGGGCTGTAATAAACATGCCCAGGGAACAGGCCGCTGCACCCTCAGCTATTCAGCACGATTTCACAGCGCCGGGCCAGCCTCATTATGGTGTGGGCTGTTGTCCTATACAAAGTCAGATGAGATGAATTTCTCCCCTTTTCTCTGCAAAATGGTTTGTGAATGATACTCGTCCTGGAATCTGTCAAAAGATAGGAGTTTTTGTTTACCATTTGACTTCTTTATGGACTGCGGAGGCACTTTCTTTTTATAGCCTGCAAAGAAGACGTTGCTATTTAACCATCTCAGCCATGCCTCCATTGATAACAATATTAATTTATCATTTTCCCAAACCATCTGTGATGGATAAAGACATTCCAGGAGGCTCCCGTGAACCGAATTGTGATGAGAATTAAGAAATTAAGCACCACATCTAGCTTCCCCACCACAAAGGGACCCTCGTTCCATCTCACTGAGCAGCAGCCCGTTCTTCCCGCTCCCCGCCCCGCCCCCTTCCCTGAGGCCCTGAATGCGGCTGAAAGAAGGCTGCTCAGAAGGTGCCCGAGCCTTAGGAAGACGCAATCATTAGCAGGGCAGAAGCATGAGACAGCGCTCAGCCGCTCTGCAGTGCATTCTTGATGCTCCCATCACTCTTTATTCCTTCCTGTGGCTCTGCCAAGGGTTGGGGGAGGGGGAGAAGGGAGCACCCCGGTCCAGCCCCCCCTGGTTTCTTGGGGCCACTGTGTGGAACTGTCCCCGTCATGCCCCCACCCCATCCCCAGTTGTTTTCCTGTTGAATTTTGTACTTTCCCTCCCTGGCATCATAAGCATATTTTCCCCAACTTGACATTCTTGGTTGTGTGTGAGAATTATCTGGGATGTTGCAAAATGCTACTCGGGTCCCACCCCAGAGATTCTGGTTTAATCAGTGGGTCCAGATGAGAGGTAGACGCCTGGCCTTGGGAAAAGTCCCCAAGGCTGACAGCTGCTGAGGTGGGATTGAGAAGTACAGGTGGCAGGCTGTTCTTGGTGTGGGTTCAGGAAAGTCTCCTGGGGTGGCCTGAGCCCTACAGTTAATTCCTTTGAAGGGAGAGATTACTAATTGAATATTTTAAAGACTCTTTTGGTGAAAACTTGGGGAGGGTGCTGAAAGTTCTTTTCGTTTGAAATCTCTCAGGGTGAGGCTGGTGCATCGTTTGTGTGTGCACGAGCCTAGATTTGCTCTCCTGGTAGTCGAGTCTCAGAAGTCTGAAGTCCCTCCCACACCCCTCTTCCTGACTCTCTGACCGCTTCCACTCACCCCATAAAAGCCTCAGGTGTATACTCTCCCGCTTTTTGGGAAACAGTCTCTGGTATTCTGTCTCACTGGCCCCTTCCTCCAGCTCTTAGATGCTTTCTGCTGCGTCTTTGATGGTGATCCCTGAGTCATGGGAAGGGTGGTAGAGAAATCCCATTCATCGTTGAGGATTTAACAGTTCTAATTCTTAGCACTTAGACCAGATAGGAGTCTCTGCAGTGCTCACTACCAATTGCAAAAAAGGGGGGAAAAAAGGTTGTCTCTGACCAAAGCTGCCTAACTTATGGGTATAAATATAATTATTTAGGTGGTAATTTGACGGGCGTGTCCCATCCATTTAGGCTTGCTGAGCTCTTAGTGTGGAATGTAGCACTTGGTGACTGGCTCACTCAAAGGGGATCAGCCCCTGTTAGATTCAGTGGGCGATTCCCACAGGATTGGATAGGGAACTAGGGATTTCCCCGGTGCTGTGGTACACTGTCCATAAAGGATTTGCATGCTTCGGAAGCAGAAATGATGAATGAGCAGAGTGGCGGAGATGTGCGCGGCAGCTGCCTGCGGAGGCTCGGTGCAAAGGTGGGGACAGCTGTATACAGCCAAACGCGGGTCTGAAAGTGCCACTCAAGACTAGGCTGCATCTGAGGGCTGCCTGCCTGACCACACTCGGACACACAGTCCACCAAAGCGTGGGCTGATTCTTACCATCCTGCTGAACCTGTACTAGGTCAGGTGCTTGGGCTCGGTCAAGTTCTGAGGTCCTTACAT